AAAGGAAAGGAAAGGAAAGGAAAGGAAAGGAAAGGAAAGGAAAGGAAAGGAAAGGAAAGAAAGGAAAGGAAAGGAAAGGAAAGGAAAGGAAAGGAAAGGAAAGGAAAGGAAAGGAAAGGAAAGGAAAGGAAAGGAGCTATTTTTGGACTGGGTATGATAGTATCCAAGCACTCAGGAGACCTAGGAAGGAGAATCATGAGTTCTAAACTATCCCCCAAGCACAGAACAAGATTCTGTTCAAAAGACCAAGAAAATAATAAAGGGGTAACTCTTGTTCCAAGCTCTTCTTTCTCAGATGGCGGTAAAGGAAAAGCAATACTTTATAGAAACAGAAGAAAGAAAAGGTAGGTTGCTTTACCTTCTGAGTCCTTCTCATAGAAAACACCGTGAGGGTGAATGGTATAAGGCCGGCTGGCAAAATTCTTCAGGTGGATCAGGATGACGTCCCCCACCTCAGCCTGTAACAGTGGTCCTAGGAAGCCCAACCAGGCAGGCTTGGCTATTTCATTAGTATATGTGCCATCACTGTATTCCTTATAGACAGTCTTCTTGTAACTACTCCCTATCCTGTTTTTCCCAGACTTTAGGAAGCTGGAAACCACTCTGAGAAAATACAAGACAGAATTAGAACTTTTCTACCATCTTCAAACAACTAGAAGTTTCTTCCCCACAGAATGCTGACAAAAGAAAAAAGGAACTAGATTGCCTTTCTGAAAATATAATGTGAAATGGAAAGTTGAGGCATACAAAATAGCTGAAATTTGACCAACTTTTAATATCCAAAGGGTCACTCTTACATCGTGCAAACAAATATACAGTGACAAAAAGATAACCAGCTGTATAAAAACTCTTTTTAAATGGTCAACTCCTCATTCATGTAACCTTTAGCATCATGCTGCTATATACAGAGAGCAAAGGATCACAGTGGTCATTACTACAAGCTTCAGAGCCAGGCCACATTGGATTAAATGTCATCTGCTCCAGTTTTCAGATTTTTGAAACATTGGACAAGCTGCTTTAACTTCTACATGCATAATTTCACCATCTTTCAAATGAGGGTAATCATAAGATCTGACTTAGAAAGTTGTTATAGTGACAAAAAAGAATTTCTTATTCTAGGTCTTGGGGTTTAAAGTGCATGGTTAACATGCACAAGGCCTTGGATTTGATTCTCACAACCATGAGAAAGAAAAAGTAAACTAAAACTTCAGGAATCTTTAGGATGGTACCTGGAAAATTACTGAAGTTCAATGCTATTACTTGAAATTATTAAGGTGGGTAATTATTTTTTACTCTTTCAGAGCAAGTTTAATAGAAAAGTTCTGACTTCAAATCAAAGCTGGATGAAGAGTTTGTATCAAAAGACAACTTAAGTTAATCATAGATCTTAGTGTTAGAGAATACTTGCCTACAATATATGAGGTTCTAAGATTTATACCAAGACTATGAAAACAGAAAGAGAAAAATAAAGTTGTTTGTACTTTAAGATGAAAAACTTTGGTCTTTGGAGATATAAATGAACCACCATTGCAAAAGATGCTATAATATATTCATTCATTCATTTTCTTTTAACTTTTGGTGAAGCATCAACCAGTTTCTAAGATCAAGAAATGTTAAACCTTCCCCTTGTTAGACAGGTTGAAGCAGGAGGCTTTTCCTGAGTTCAAACATAGCAAGAGTTACATAGTGAGCTCCAGAATAGCCTGTCCAAGAGTAAGATGTTGTCTCAGAAAGTAAGAAAAAGAAAGAAAAAGAAAGGATGAAAGGGAAAAAGAGAGAGATGAAAAGAGAAGGGGACAAAAGATCAGAGGATATAATGGACAAAAAGAAGAAAAGAGAATAGAAGAAAGGTAACTAATGTGAGGGGTACAATGGTTAAAAACAGAATCGAGTACAGACCCACTTTACAGATATTCGAACTCCCCACCACCAGCTCCTCCATTTACTAGCTATAGGATTTGGATGAGTCACTTGACATTCATGAGCCTATATTCTTATCTATGAAATCAAGACTGTCTATGTTTACATGTTGCTCAATGGTAGAGTATACAAGATCCTAGGTTCTATCCTCATATCACAATATTGATGATGGTCATACTTCCTAGAGATTTTTCAGGAATTGGATAACATATTTGTAGTTATAAAGTATGGCATCTCTCCTAGAGCTCTTGTCTCCAAGATATCTGTTACTGTCGTTTCCTTTCTTGTAAGACTTTTTCACATATCTAGAATTAGGGTAGTTCTACCAGGGTACAAAAGCATAATTTCACCATATATATATACAATATTACATATCTTTCATTAAAAAATAAACCAAACAGCTGTTGATAGATTGGCATTATGGATCCCATCTTAGATGCAAAGAAATATGTACTTATTGTTAGGAATCTAAAAATGCTAAGGTGCTTTATTGCTGAAAAATAAAACTAGGATGGGATGTTGGATCCTGAATCAAATTTGTTTCCAAGAAACCTGTTGCTGTATGTGTGGTACAAAGAGACTGGAAGCTGGGTGCTATAATACTCTAAGAAAGGATGTCCCTTCCCACCCCCAGAAGACTAGCTCTTGAACTGCAAGAATGTCTTCTTTCTTCTCTATCTCTAATAATACATAAGATGAAACCTACGTGTCATTGTTCAGAGTCTGATTTGTGATGACATTTTTTCCTTTGGGAGCATAGTTCCACTTCATATCATGGATGCCCAGGTAGTAGTTTCGAATGGCCCCGTCAGTTGGTAGAGAGCACAAAGAGTGCATCAACAGTAAAGCCCAGAGAAGATGGCCAGCCTTCATGGCCCACAGTACTTTGAAAAACGAGGAATGGAATCTGCTGGTTTGAAGGAGAAAAAAAAGATAAAAAGAAACAAAAAATTTTGCATGTGTCTGGAAAGCTGTAGCAGTAAGAAACAAGAAATGGCTAAAAAAAAAAGCAAAACCCAATTAACTCAAGATTTTTGTTGTTGTTGTTTTTCTGTTTTTTAACCTCTCCAGATTCCTTTCAGTCCAACAAATATCCGGTGGCCTCCATATATAGGCTGTTAGAGAACAAAGTTAAAAATTCACCCATACTACTAATCATGTATTGCTTCCTTCAGAAGAGAAACCTGAATTCTGTTCTTTCAGCAGTACAGAAGAAAGAATGTACTCTGACCCTCAAACCAGGAAACAGTCATCAGACTCATGATCAGACTGTACTGACTGACTTGGTATCTTAATGAAGTTAGTAATTCTTCTTTTGTCTATTTTCCCTTAAGCAAAAAAATGACTCATAGCTGCTACTTCCCATAATCAATAAATCATATTTAGAAACATGTGAGAAAACATCAAAAGACATTTACTGGAATATTCATAGACCCAAAATGAAAACTTGCAAAATGTCAATCAATATTGAAATGGTTGAGTAAATTGCATTTTATTTACACAATGGTATTCAGAATGGCAATAATACTGAACAAGCTAAGACTATGCATAACACAATGAACAGAATGGTAAATGCGACTCTAAAGAAAAACACAAAAGCATACATATTGTATGATTTCATTCAGGTAAAGGGCAAATTACAGAAAATGAATCTTTTCTACTAGACTTAAGGAGAGAAGTGAAAAAAAAAGCTCAGTTGTATGGTACACACTATACATTAGTTCCTGGGTTCCATCCTTAACACCATTAAAAAAAAATGAAGATAATGTTCACCCTTGAGGCAAAGATCAGTGACTGGGAAGGGAAGAGGTCATGTTCTGTTCCTTTATCTGTATTCTATTTATTTGGATGTGTTCAGTTTCTGAAAATATGTTGAGCAATATAGGATTTACATACATTTTGTATATGGTTCATTTTGGCTTTTAAATGATTAAAAAAAAAAGAGCGAAAACAAACAAAAGTATGTAAGGGAAGTTGTTTGAACAGCTTAGATTCTCCGCTGGTTCCAAATTCTGTATATAAACTCACTTCACCAGTTTCATCCTGACTCACTGCCATACTCAGCTTTCTAACCTCTTATTTCAACGTTTTAAGCGAGAAGGTTAGAATGCTTGAACCTGGGCAGAAAGCACTGAGAAATACCATACATAGTGACCAAATCTAGCAACATAAACATCCATTCATATGTGTACACATGAATTTACTTAAAAGTACAAATGCACATATTTACATCCACATGCAGCCATATTGTCAACAGAGAGCCACAGTCACCTTCGGAATAACAACAACAATAAATAGATATTTATTGTGTCTATGATGTGTTCATTCTAACCATCTAACACAAATTAAAAATTTTAAATGTCACAATCACCCTATGAAGTAGAAATCATTATCCTCCATGGTATAGTGGAGGAACTGGAAAACAAGAGATGCAGAGCAACTGTCTCAAGGCCATCTTAGTTAACAGAAGTTAGAGTTGAAATTTAATTCCAGGAAATATATCCAGCACCTAAGATGTGGGCACAAAAATGCATTTGAACACTCACATGGATATGTTGGGGAACTCTGCATAAACTCACAGACATAGCTATAACTAGAAAAACTGCATACACTCTAAAATATGCAATTGCATGTGGCTATGTTTACTTTAGAAGCAGGGAGATAATCCTACAAGGAGATAATCATAATAATGATAATAACTATGTTTCAGTGAGATATGACTAAAGGCAAAATACCATGTTCAGTGCATTAAACAACCTGTTTCATTAAATATTCAACTCAAAGCATAAGTAATGGGGACTATTACCCCAAACTAGAAATTCAGTCTCTACTGGGTGTGGTGGTGAACAACTAATTTCAGTACTCAGGAGGTTGAGGTAAAAGGATTGAGGCAGGAGGTTTATATATTCAAGCCTATTCTGAACTACATAAAGAAAAGAAACTCTTTAAAGTTAATTAATTAGTTAATTAATTAATTCAAACCTTAATAACACAAAATATTAAAAGACATGCACAGATCACATGTGGATAAGGACACAGGTATTTACCCTAAGTAGACCCAGATACTTACTCTGATTAAAATCAAACTTAAAGACTTTTTAAAAATGAACTCTCAAGCTTTTCCACACACAGCAACCATGTCACTGATCTCCATATTATGTCTGGCAAAAGGCCCTAGGTGTAAAGACAGGCATGTCTTTGGGGGTGGGGGAGCAACTTCGTGCAGAAACCTGTCTGCCCCACTGATTGGTTATATAACTTGGTTATTATTTAACAGCTATGCTAAACTCATGTGTAACATAAGTTTAGTATCAGCCTTGGAGGAATAATTCAGAAAAAAATTACTTTAAAAAGCCCTAGTAATACCAATGTTTGGAGCACAGAAGATAGTTCCTATTGGCTTGCTTGCTTGCTTTTCCTTCTTTCTCCTAGCTACAGTTCGCTAATGTATCTTGCAGTCTCCTAAGAAATTGCAATCTCCTAGGAAATTGCCTTCATTTGCTACATTGTACTATAAGATCCCTGAGAGTGGATGCATTGGAATACAGGTGACCGTGTAGCTATTAGCAGATACAATGCAGAGGGCCTGGTAGGCAGGGCCTTAGCAGCTACTGTTAAAGTGAGAGGAATGAATAGGGATGCATGTACCCACTTGTTAGCTCCAGACTAGCTTCTAGCACTAGTTTGAATAGTGACTTGAGGCAAGTTTCTTTACCTTAATGAGCCCCAGTTTCTTATCCATAAAATAATGAAATATGCAGAGCCAAGCTATATAGTGTTGACATGGTAAAAGCCATGTAAAATTTATAATCTAATGGAACACATGTGTGCAACTGAGAAATTTGGTATTTAAAAAGTTCTCAGACTCATTTCTCTCACATGATGCCAATACTCACATTTACTGGTGAAACACAGGTACAGTCACATGTAAGTACACACACTACTATGCCTGGAAAAACATTTAGCCATTCCTTAGGACCCTCAACCTGGAAGGAGTGACCTTCGTTTTGTGGACTTCTGGGTGTACACTGGACTTCGTTCAAACTTCCTTCTCAAAGAAGTACCAGCAAGGCAGCTGTGCCTTCAGCTTATTTACCTAGAAAGAAAACAATTCCAGGTAAGAGTTCCATTTCAGCACTCTTACATGATAATTTTAGAAATGTCTGGAGAGACTTAGTACAGATCATTAGCATAGAATGAACAAGCATTCAAAGTTGGAAATTGTGACTAATGTTCCAAAAGTCTGGAGAATATAAAACCTAGCAGTTTTACTTTACAATGTACTTTTCATATCTGCAAACTTATTTCTCATAGTCATGTAAGATATGGATTTAATTTCCATGTTTTACATGCAGGGCAGGGGCTTTAGACTCACACTTCTTAAACGAAGCCTGGATCCACCAGCATCTTCATCTTTAGCACTATTTGCTGTCTCATACAGTTATTGTGAAGATTAAATGAACAACAATCTATACATGTAAATAAAATTGCATATGCACACAAGCTAGTTATGAAAAGTAACACTGGATATTATTATTAATATTGAGGAAATAGATTTGAACACACAGCTAACCACTATCACAAACTTAGTCTTGTTTGCTTCTCTTTCTCCCTCTCTCTCTTTTTTCTCTCTCCCTTCTTTCTTTGTTCCTAGCAATCAAATCCAAGTCATAGTACAAGCAAAGAAAGTGTTCCAAGCTCAAAACTTATCACTTTATAATGATAGGCATGTATTATTCTAATGTTCTGATACAGGGTAACATGTTCAATGTATAGAAGCACTTTTATATTGGCATAAAATGCACACATTTCAGGCTGACAGTCTGTTCATGGAAGGAACTTGGTTTAATGTAAGTTAGTCCTTGGGGCTGTTATGATGACACATACCTATAATCCTAGTACTCATGGAGGTGAAGTTTGAAGTTTGAGGCAGGAAGATCAAGAACTTAAAAAGCCAATCTGGACTATATAGTTAAGTTCCAAGTTAATCTCTCCTCTCTCCTCTCTTCTCTCTCTCTCTCTCTCTCTCTCTCTCTCTCTCTCTCTCTCTCTCTGTCTCTGTCTCCCTCTGTGTGTCTCTGTCTCTCTGTCTCTCTGTCTCTCTGTCTCTCTCTGTCTCTCTGTCTCTCTCTCGCTCTCAACATATATATATGTATATGTATGTGTATGTGTATGTGTGTGTGTGTGTGTGTGTGTGTGTCTGTGTCTGTCTGTGTCTGTGTGTGTGTGTGTGTGTGTGTGTGTGTGTGTGTGTGTTAAAGAAACCAGAATTTAGAGTCTGGAATTCAGATAAACTTAGTTGTGAATACTATCCATGTTTAAATAAGATAAATATACACAGTATCTGGAACTTAACCACACATCTTGTATTAGTTTTTCTTCCTTTAAATTACTGACTTCCTATTTTTCTGCCTTGAGATTGAAGTTGTCATTGATGTTGTTTACTTTGGTTTTTATCACACACTTTAAGGGCAAAGGAAAGAACCCATAAACTTCCTTTAGAACCACTTGGACATTTCATGAAAATGTGGAAAGTATCCAAGCACCAATTAGAGTGAAAGAGAAAGAGCAAGAGAGAGAGAATCCACTTCTGCCTTCACTGTTGATTCATCATATGACACTGAGCAAGTTATGTAGCTTCCTGAGACTAATCTCATTTTTAAATAGTGAAAATCTATACTTTGGGCCTCTCAATGGTTTCTAATGAAGACCAAATGAGATGAAAGACATGAAATCCCTGTGTAAATTTTTCATCAGGGCTATGACATGTTTCTTGATGGTGGGCCACAGAGAAAAAGCAGACTGATGTGGAAAAAGGAAAACAAGAAACGAGATAAGTAAGGTGGACATGAGTGGCAGGTAAAAGCAAAATGGAAATCTCTTTAAGAAATAAAAAGGAAGAGCCATTCAGAGTAAGGACAAGCTTGGGGCTACCTGGAATTCACTATAATTTAATTAATAGACACTGATTTCTTGTTTCAACCTGAGGAGAAATTCAAACCCCTCCTTCCTTTTAGCTACTTTCTAGCCATACAATGGTACTCTGACCCAATCTTTATGAATCATGGAAATTTGCATGAAGGTTTCCCTAGAATTTGCAAGTCGCTCCTTTACTGTGATGATGCTTTTTTTCTCTCCCATTAGTCTTGTGTTAGATAACTAGACTGGCTTTAAACAGCTCATGTTAGACAGAAAAATCACTAAAATAAGAATTTGGAACTATTTAAAGTGAGCAAGCCCTGCCTCCAGCCTCTCAGTTTGGCTCCTTGCTTTCTGAACTTTTTGCCACTCTGTTGATAGAAAACAAATTGACATTAATGACCCTCATTCAAATTCCATCTCGCTTGTAAGAGGTGTCAGTAAATTATTTTCACTTCTGGGAGCCTCTGCTTTTTTATCCTCAAAATGGGGACTCTGATCATTTGACAGGACTGTTTTGAGACTCAAACAAATCCTGAATATCTGAAGCAATATACAAATAGTTTGTTTAGTATATAGCAGACACCCAGTAATGAGAAACTGGATCCACTATATCCTTACATATCTATAAAACATTTAGAAACCACTTTTATGTGCGTGTGTGGTTGTGAGATACTTAGAAAACTGATAGCACGGTGGTGAAATGGTTGGTTCAAAATCATGCAGCCAACAAGGCCAGAATTCGAACCCATGCTTACTAAAGGCTTTGGTCACTAGACACTAAATACTCTTAAAATAATTCATGTTTTAGTGTGACTCGATTAGCACTGACTGAATCTGTGCCTACCTTGTGTGAAAAATATGAAACCTAACAGAGTTGTATTTAAGGGCTTGTGATCTTCCTGTTTATGGAATTTACAGCTACATGATCTCAACAAAACTGCCCACCCTAGGAGGGAGAAGACGCTGTTTAGACAGCAAACTGGACTCTTCTCTATGACTCCAAGACTGTCCCAGAAAACAGTGGGGCCAAAGTGATTCAGGCCATTTTGGCTAGAGGAACAAAAGGAAGGCAGTCTATTGTCTCCTGTTATTTCCCTGTGCACCTAAGTAAACTTCCTCCAACTCTGCAGTCCACCTACTTTTTCTCCCAGTGACCCTGGACTTTTCTAAACTCAACTGAGTAAGCTCTTTGGGTAGGAAGGCGAGTGAGGTTGTTTCAAAAGAGAAAGCTTACCTTGTTAGAGAAAACTCTTCCTTCCTTTCTTTTTCTTCCTTCCAAATTCATGTCAGCGGCCCATCAACGCTGAACTGCAGACCCCAGCCTGAGCCTGCCAGCCCTGTTTACTTAGTAAACACGGTTACAAAGCTTTTCCCATGAATTAAATCTAGGGCTCCTGTCTGGCGGGGATTCCTGGGGTGAGTGAAAGGGGGAGGGGACAGTGCTGGGTGCCCTCTTTTCCACAAACTAAACTACTGGAATGTCCTGTTCCCGCCGGTTTGGTACAAAACCCGGGGTGGTTCTTTAACAATATCCGGGTGTTTTCCAAATCCTGGTGAGGATCTCCGGAGGAATTACAAGGAGGTGGGCTGTTTATGTTGCTTCCTAGTTGGCTTTGCTGAGCTAGGATGATGCATCTTTGGGGTGGCCAGCCAAAGCCCAAGGGCAGATTCCAGCTGCCTGGGTTAAGAAATAGGAGGACAAGGTGTATAACTCGGTGGTAGAAATGCTGACAATGACAGTGACAATAGTAATGCCACAAAGATCTCTTAAAATATACACTGTACAATGGATCTTTTATTTTTGTAGCCGACACCATTTCTGTCCCTTCTGCAAAGAAAGAGCAGTGAAAAGTCACTGAACTAAGTAGAACCTATGTCCTAGCTCTTCTGGTTTTGGCAATAATTCGCTGGCTGGATTTGGCCTAGGGCCTTGCTTCACTGTGCTCCTTTCCATTTGTATGACGACGATCTTAAGGTAGATATGAACCCATTCATCTCTGTAAAAATCATGAATCTATGATTCTGTGAAGCAGCATTTTAAGTAATAAGAACAGCTGAGAAAGAAATGCAAGGAAAGAATGAGTGAAGAAAACGCAACGCCCTGTTGAGAGGGGCAGTTTCTACTCACCAGACTCCCCAAACTCAGGAAAGGTACAGATAAGATGACAATGTACTCTCTGGTGTCCTTACTTTGCTTTGGGGAGATTTCCACTGAGAGCAGACTTCTTCACTCCAGCTATAGACACTTCCTTTGCCCCGAACCTGAAGTACCTGGAGTAGGGGCCAAGAAAGAGGACTTTCCTAAGACAGAAAGTCCCACTGAGCTGGTAGGGCAAAGTCTGAATCATAAACAACTAGAGGTTTTAAGGATAGTCAGCCACTGAGGAGCTACCCTGCAAATTGCAGCGTAGGCCAAGTGAAGCAGAAGCACCAGTAAAAGGAAGGGAGGAGCTACCAGCCTGGGCTACCTCAGAAACACACGCAGCTCGATTGGCTCACAGCAGCACCTAGGATTACCTGTCTAACACTCATATGGACCTTGAAGCTAGAGGAAGAAGGTGGTGACCAAACCCATTAACCTGAGATCTAAGTCCAGGCTCTAAGGCATTTATGACAGGGAAGGAGGGAGGAGAAGGGATAAGGCCTGGGCTCTGACTCATGAAACACAACAAGAAGCAGGTCATTATAGATGCTCTTAAGTCAACACAGTAAAGACTACAGAAGGCAAGCGAGACAAGATTTCCGGGCTTGCAATATTTATTCACAAATTTTTTGAGAGTGTAAGTGGTTAACACCTCTCACACAAATCCTGCATGTCTCTGGTGCTTTTCTCTTGGGAATCACTTGCAACATAATTTGAAGCAGCTGCCTATAGACCATAGTTTGGCAAGCTTGAATATAAGGAGTTACTTAATATTTATTTTATTTTTTAGGATACAGTTTCTATGTAGTATAACTTTTCAAACTATAATATACCTTAATAAGATTCATCTTATTAACAGTAAAAATTTTATAAAATAAAAGCAACAGACACAATTTGATCTATGAGCTACAGAACCTTTTGGTTTTTTCCCCCGAGCATTAATATTTGAAATACATTGCAAGGAGTATGGAATCTGTGTCTGATGTCCCTGATTGAAATCACAGTTTTGCCATTTCAAGATAATACAAACTTGGAAAAGTATCTTTCCAAGTATAAGTTTTACCCATTGTGAAACAGTGTTTTATAGGAATATTGTGAGGAGTAAAATAAAATTATATGTGTGAACATGGTGATCGGTGCATAGTAAACAGACAGAAATAACACTTGCCTTAATTTTTATTAAAGATATAAGTTAGAGCTGGTGATGTACCTTAGTGGGTAAAGTATTTAAAAACTATGCACAAAGCCCTGTGACCAATCTTCAGCACCATAGAAAAAGTAGCATGGTGGAATATGTCTGTAATACCATGGGACACAGATGAAGGAAGATCAGAAGTTCAAGGTCATCTTTGGCTTGATATTGAGTTTAATGCTAGCCTAGAATACATGTGAGTAAATATTAACTTTTTTATTAATACAGGTAGCATGAATTTATGGTAAATTTTGGTGGTTTGAGTGAGAATGGTAGGCATAGGCTTACATATTCAAATACTAGGTCACCAGTGGGTGGACTGTTTGGGAATGATTAGGATGTGTGGCCTCATTGGAAGAGGTATGTCTCTGAGGGTGGGCTTTGTTGTTTCAAAAATCCATGCCTGGCCCAGTTCTCTCTCTCTCTCTCTCTCTCTCTCTCTCTCTCTCTCTCTCTCTCTCTCTCTCTCCCCCCCCC